TCGAGTCTATTGAAGAAGAAGACGGATTCGTTCGCATATCACAAGCCATTCAAGCGTACAATTGGCCCAATAGTTCACTCAAAGGTTTGTCACAATTATATTCAACATTAATTGCAATCATTTCTCACAATTGTCTCACAGAGTGTCCATCATATCATCCGTCGACAAAATTCAAAGATCTCTTAGACAACGATACCATAGAAAGTATTGGCGAGAATTCATCGCAATTGAAAGAGAGTGACAACGAAACCGACGATTTCGACCATTTATTTGACAAATTTAGTGAAATTAAATGTATTTAACATTTAAAACATTCAAAATTTGTGGCAATAATTTATTCTCTCATAAAATTGCAGTGAAATCATCGCAAATGAACGAAACGGATAGAAAACAATACGCAGAAGACATGACAATCGCTTTCTGGAAAGCTATCGGCGGCGATGAAGAAGAGATCAAAGGCTTGGACTCATCTTTCAATTGAAATTTGTATAAATAATAGTTTATTAAAATATTTGTAATATAATTGCGAGAAATTGTTTTTATAATTTATAATTCAAATGATTTAATCAATTGAATTGATTTGTCGGAGGACTTCATCTTCACTCATATCTTCATTATCTAAATTATTGTACAGTTCTTTAGTTTCCGTCTCTATATTCTTGTCGATCACATCGTGTGTCTCTATATTCTTGTCGATCACATCGTGTGTCTCTATATTCTTGTCGATCACATCGTGTGTCTCTATATTCTTGTCGATCACATCGTGTGTCTCTATATTCTTGTCATTTTCACCAATAATTGAATTGTTTTCCACTGTTTTACTGATCGATTCATAATATTCTGCCATTAATTCATGTTCAATGTCTTCTTCGAACTCGGGATCCATTGTCTCCATAACTGGTGTTTTCTTTGTATAACTGGTATTCATATTAACAGAACTGTTGGCAATAATTTCATCGAAGTCTTTGATTTGATTTTCAATCTCTTGGTCGTCATCGCTGTTATGGTCGTCAGTATTGACGGTCACATCAAACGAATCCA